TTAAAAGAATAAGTCAAGAATGAGGGTGTAAAGAATATCTTCTCTTTGCTTTACATTTATTTCTTGTCAGATGGATATGCTGTAGTTGCATCATCACTCGTCTTCATTGGAATGAGCCAAATAATACCATTAAGAAGTGGTTATTTACTTGCAACTATCTTCTTATTAACAGGATTCAAAAATTAATTGATCTTTTTTTATTTAATGAAAGTTAAATGAAAGAATTTCTTTTATAAGGAAAAATTAAAACATTAATGATAATTTACTATGTTATGAATAAACAAAACGAGGTGTAAGATAAGATAGTAGTAGTTATATATTATGAATAAAACCCATTTTTATTATATCTATTTTAAATGATACAATGACTTATTATATTCAAATTACTTTTTATCAATAAAATTATTATTTTTAAGAACAATAATTATCATAAAAAGAAATTGAAAAAGAAGAAGAACTGTTAAAATGGAATGAACCAAACAAAACTTATAATTAACAAGTTTGTTTTTTTTTGTTGTTATAAAAGTTTCTTTCAAAGTATTAGAAAACTCTTCTTCAATTATCTTGAAAAACTCAACCTGTTAGAGAATCTCCAAAACATACTTCAAAAGAATTAGAATCAATAATTATTTTAAAAAATCATCATAACAATAATGAAAATGAGTTACAACTTAAAGATATTACATTTTTAGATTTAAGTTCTCAACATTTGAAGACATTACCAAAGTATTTACATTCTCTTAACTTAATTAAATTAGATCTTTCTAATAATCAAATAGAAGGTGATATTAATCTTTCATTCTTATCATCTTTACAAACACTTGACATAAATTCAAATTGTGTTAATAGTGTTAAACTACCTTCTTCTTTAGAAACAATTAATATTTCTCAAAATGAAATTAATTCATTTGAATATGAAAATAATAGTTTAAGAAAGCTATCATGTAATAATGTTAATATGTTAACTGTTTCATCTCCAAATCTTATTGAACTTTCTTGTTCAACAACTAATTTAATTATCAAACAACAACACCTTACAAAATTAATAATAATGAATTCTCTTCACTGTGAACAATATAATTTTTATCAATTTGAATATCTTTCTTCACTAACACTTTCTTGTTGTGAATTATATTTTCTTCCTCAATGTATTGAAAAGATGAATTTAATTTGTTTAGATGTCAGTTGTAATTTGATTTCTTTATTTCCAAAAAACCTTCCTACCACATTAACCAGTCTTAATTTAAACTACAACCAAATATCATCAATTCCAATTCAATATATTAATCAATTAAAAGAATTATTTATTACAGGAAATTTAATAACTTTATCAACAGTTGAATCACTTTCAAACAAATTATACATTCCTTATTTTAAACCTGAAAGACTTATTGAAATAGAAGATGGAATTTATGTTGGTAATAAACATCATTCACAAAATAAATCCATTCTTGATAAATTTAATATTAAAAGTATTATTACAGTTGCTGAAATATTACCATCTTATCCTTCTTTCTTTAATTATAAAGTTATTAAAGTTCCTGATTTACCAACAACAAATTTATATATTCATTTTAATGAATGTTATAACTTTATTGAATCTAATAAAAATAAAGGATCTATTTTAATACATTGTGTTGCTGGAAGAAGTAGAAGTGGAACTATTGCAATTTCATATTTTATGAAGAAGAAACAATTATCACTTGATAAAACATTGACATTCATTAGAAATAAAAATCCAAAAATTGAACCAAATAGTGGATTTATGGAACAACTACGCAGATATGAAATAGAAATTAATTTAAATAAAAAAGAAAATAAAACACTTTTATCTTCATCAAAACATAATCAGAAGTGTTGTATAAATTAGAATTGAGAGTAATGGTATTGGTTTCATTAACTTTAAAATAAAAAAAAAGAAAAAAAAGAAAAAAATCTTAAAAATTAAATTTTATGTCAAATCAAAGAAAAGAACCACTTTCTGAAGATAAGTTAAATAATTATGGTATGTCATCATTCTCAAATGTAAGTTCTTCTTATATAATTAAAAAAATTCCTCAAAACCCATTTTCTGATCCTGAAACAACTACTTTATATCATTCATATGATAATTATCATCCTTTTAATCATCAAAATTCATTCTTTCAACCATGTTCTGTTAATTATAATCAATCTGACTATCAACCAACTTATGACTCTTTTGATTACGCACAAACTAAAGAACTTCAAGTATCGTCTATTCCTGAAATACAACAAAGTCATGTAGTAAATTCAAACCTTCCTATTTCAGTTAGTCCAGTTCAAACGAATAAACATTTAGGAACAATAAGAAAACAGACTTTAACTAATAAAGATGATGATGCTATTATAATATCCAAAAGTCTTAAACCAACTGCTCTGATAGAACCACCGAAGTTACCTAAAAGAAAAAATGAGTTACCTAAAAGAAAAAAACAATATAAAACTAAAGACACTTCAAAACTTTATAAAGTCGTACCATTGACATTACAAACTAAACCTACAACCACCTCTGAACAACCAGTAATTTTAACAAAAGAAAATCAAATTTCTAAGTCTGAATCATTTCCACTAATTCAAGAAGAAAATATTTCTTTAAATCCTGAAGGTCCTTTAACTACATTATCTACTTCAAAAAGTTCTACAAAACCAGAAACTTCTTCTATTAATCATAGTCATATTTTTAACTTCACTCATATTACTTCATCTCAATCAATACCTTCACAACTTCCTATTTATTCTTCATATCCTTTAAATAGTACTACTTCATATAACCTTCATCCATTAAGTCAACAAATACATTCATCTGGTGTTATTGAACCTGCAAAAATAGTTGTTTCTCCAGAATCATCTATTGACCCTCAAATAGATAAATCTAATAATGTTCAATATCGATCCCCTAACTCTCTTATTCTTCCATCCCTACATGACTCGACTGCTCCTATAGTCACACACTCTCCTATGCTAATGAAAAGTAATTCTAATATTCAACTTCCTCCAACTAAAGTGTCTTTAAAAACAAATTCTTCTGAAAATGAAGAATTTCCTCATCCTTCTTCATTACCATTAACATCACAAGAAGACCTAAACCAAACACTAAATTTAAATAATAGTTCATTGGCAGAGCCAAAATTATTACGTAGTAGTAATGTCACAAGGAATGTTTCATCAAAGAAAATTCATATTTTTAATCTTAAAGAAAAAGAGGGTAATCAACAAGATTTATCTGACTCTATTATAACGCCACTAGCACAAATAACCCAAGAAAAGATAATGATGAATATAAAAGAAATAAACAAAATAGACAAAAGTATTGAAGTAGAGGAAAATCAATTAAGCGAAAAAATAAGATTAAACAAAAAATTTCAAAAAAGAAGCGATGGGCCCTATCAAGAAACTGAAAGTGAGCCAATGGAAAAGAGAAAACACACAATAAGTCTTAATGAAAAAATTAGTATGAAAGTTAAAGAAATACCTTCAATTACGTCCAATGAAGAAAGTATCGAAAGTAGTAAAGAAAAAGAAGAAATAATTGAACAAGCTGATCTAGACAAATTACAAGGAATAGACACAAGAGTATTTACTTCTGAATTTAAGTTATTCAGAAAAAAAGAAGCAAAAATTTTTTCTCTTATAAAGTCATCAATGGAAAAAGAAAATAATAAACTATTTGGTAAACCTTGGAAAGAAAAACTCAAAACAGGGACATCTGATCAAACCCATCTTTTTATTAATTCATTAACATTAAAATATATTAATACACAACCCCTTAACAATGAAGACTCAACAATAGAAGAAGAAAAAGAAGTACATTCTATTGAAGTGTTAACAAATACAAAACCAGAAACAAAAAAAGAGAGTGATTTAAATAATACTTCCAATCCATTAACAAGTAATGACTTAGAAATTGATAATTATAATAAAGAAGAAATAAAAGAAATTGATAAAGAAAAAGAACAAAAAAGTGAAGAAAAAGAAATTATTAACAAAGAGACTGTAGAACTTGAAGATCTAAAACTTTTAAATAAGAAAAAAAAGAAAAGTACTGTAAACAAAAAAGAACAAGAATTTGATTTTCAAAAAGCAGAAGATAACTCTTTTGATTTACCATCTTCTACTGGTGGAATAGAAAAGGTAGAAACTAAAGAGGTGAAAGATCAACCTCCTCTTGAAAGTTCTACTATAAATGAATCTTCTCATGATTTAGTAACTTCAAAAAAACAAAGTAAACGATCTGAGGCACACGGACCAACAGACGAACAATTAAAAAGTGGTGAAGGTGTATTGAAAGGAAATTATTATCTCAGGTCACGAGATTCAAGAACGTCTGTTGATATCTTTCAACCTGATTTTCCCGCAAGTAGAACAAGGTCAACAAAGAAGAAAACAAAAAAATTAGTAGAGAAAAAAACAGGACATGAAGAAGCAGAGGAAGAAAGTACTAATGTTCATTCAACAGAAGAAGAACAAACAAAAAAAAGACAAAGATATTCAACACGTAAAAAAACTAAAAGAAGAATTATTAATAAAACATTAAAAAGTAAGTTTCAAGAAATAGACCAATCAAATTCTCAAAAATCTGAAGAAGAAAAACCAAAAAGGAAATTATCAAAGAAATAAAAGGTTTAACTGTAAACAACTATGTTCATCTTTTTATTGTTTTTTATCTATTTATTAAAGTGTATTTTATCTCTATTAACTCTTTTATTTTTCTCTTTCATATTTAATAATAAAAAAAATAATTTCATAATTTAGAAAAATTAAAGGAAGAGAAGTAAATAGTAATATTTACATTAGATTTAATTAACAATGTAAAATATTATTGTAAAATATTATCAATTCAATTAAAATTTAAAAAGAAATTTAATGAATAAAATATTAAGAAAGAAGAAATATAATTTCAAAAGTATAAATAAAAAATAAAATCAATGAAGACAATAATAATTAATATCAAATTGTTTAATAATAAAAATAACGAAGAGTTAAAAGTAATAATAATATAAATTAGAAAATAAAATACCTTTTTGAAAGATTTAATAAAATACTACATTATGAATTATTATTTAATGAATGTTATTCTTTAAATTAAAAAAAAAATTAATGAAATTAAATGAAAAAGAGAATATTAAACATAAAAAAGAAATAATAAAAACTAATAATTATTGGTTTATAAAGTAAAGAATTTAAATTAAAAATATTTAATGAATAAATTTTAACAATAATGAATAGAGAGTAAATAAACAATGAGAAGGGAATTAGCAATGAGTTTCCATTATTAATACAGCAATGGATTGAGATGATACTTTTAAAGAAAAATCATTAATTTTAGTATCTTTTAAAGGTTCTAAATCAGTTGGATAAGTTTCTTCTTGTTTTATTTCTTCTTTTTTTTGTATTGGTTGTTTAAAGACAAGTTGAGGCATTTGGATAATAGAATTTCCTTCTTTTGCTTTCCAAGTAATATATTTTCTTTTACGATCTAAATTTAAAGTAGACCCAACACGTTGTAATCTTTTTTTTTCACTGAACATAGCGATTTGTTGTTTAGTTTCACCAGATAAAACCACCGATGGAGTAGTAGTTTGAGGTTTTTGTAATTTTTGATTATTAACAGAAACACCAGGAGCAATTAAATTTTGTTCGTTTTTTGGTATTCCTCTATTTTGTAATGCAAAGAATTTTGGAGGAGGTGCTGCTAAAACGATTGTAGAAGAAGAAGTTGAGTTTGGTTTGGGTTGTTTAGAAAATGGAAGGACTGACTGAATATCATCAGATTGAGTGAAAGTAGTTTGAGATTTTAGTCCAGTATTATTTTGTTGTTGTATTTCATCTGGAGAAGTTGAAGAAGAAATTGCACGTCGATTTTGGTGTATTAAAAATTTTTCTGGAGGGGTTTTAGAGATTACTGGTTGAAGCCATTCATTTTTTGGTTTAGGTTTTGTTGATGAACTAACACAATGTGAGGATTCAACATAAGAAGAAGACTTTAAAAATTCACCATTTTCTCTTTTCTTTACTATTCTTCGAGGTTTAGGTAATATTGGTAATTGGTTTATTTGTTGTGGTAATTGGGTATAATTTGATCGCGGATATAAATACTCGGTGGTTAAGGTTTGATTTGGAGACGGAGAGTCTGATGGAACAAAAAACCGACTCATCGTCCAATAAAAGAATAAAAATTTATAGTTTCAGCTCTTTAGAAAATGGAGAAAAAGAAGCATTTTTACATTTATCTCTTATCATTCGAAACTAAAAAATGTTTATAATTTATAGTTAATTATTATTAATTAAAAAACTAAAAGAATAATAATATTGATAAAAATGAAAATAAAAAAAAAAAAGAAAAAAATAAATGACTACTTCTCTTACAATCAGTTCAATTGAAACACTTTTTAAGAAAAGAAAGGATGAGTTAGAATTACAACATCAAATGTTTAATGAGAAAAAAGAACAAATATTACATATAGAATGTAAAGCTACAGAAACATATAAAAATATAGAGAATTTATCAAATATAGAAGAATGTAAGAATAACACATATTATCAAACAATATTATTAATGTCTTTAAAGTCATTACAACATATAAAAGAAATAAGAAGAAAAATTATAAAATGTATTCAAGAAATATATAGTGAAATAATTACTTTAACATTCTATATTAATACTACTCGTTATAGAAATTCATTATTTATTGGAATACAAAAACCTTCATTAACAATTACTTGTTTTAATAAAAATGGTGCTATTGACACTGACCATCAAACTCTCCACACAAAATTTGAAGGTAAATTTTTAGAAACATTTAACTCAAATATTAAAGAAGTAAAATTTAATCGTTTGATAATTCCAATAAGTTTTGGAAATCATTTTTCTCCAGCATTTTCATGTATTACAATAAAAAGTAATGAACTTTATATTACTGGAGATATTAATAATCATTCAATTAAGTTAATTACAATTATGAAAGATAGAAACCTTTCTGAAGAATTTAGTCTTAAAGTAGAATATCCAACATGTATTGTAGAACATAAGAAAAGTTCGTTATTTTATATTAGTGATAAACAACTTCATCGTGTGTTTATTTTTAATAAAAAAACTGGTGATTTTAGATCATTTGGTGGATATGGAAATGAACCAAGTAAATTTAATGAACCAATGTGTATTGCAATTGATTCTTTTGATAATGTTTATGTTGCTGATGCTATGAACTTTAGAATTCAAATTTTCACACTTAATGGAACATACATATCATCATTAAGTTTTCCTAATCAACGAACACCGTTTTATCCACATTGTATTTTATTTGATGAAGATCAATTGATAGTAATAGATAATTGGGGAAGTTCTATCTTTTCAATTAATCCAAAACAAAAAAAAGTGACTTCTATTATTTCTAGATATGGTGGAGCAAAGGGGTTTGTTAATAGACCAACATTTGCTTGTATTGACAAATATAAAAGACTATTTGTTAGTGATAGCGGAAACAATAGAATTGCTTGTTTTAAGAAAAATAATTTTCTTGGATCAATTGAAATGAAAACTTTGGGATTAGTTGGTTCTCCATTAGGAATTAGTGTAAGTGATAAAAAACTTATTTTCTCGACAACAGCAAATGAACCTTATTTAAATTGTGTGTCAATAAAGAATTTCCCAAACCCAACTTTTATTTTGTAATAATATTCATTCTTCGTTTTTGTTTTATAAAAAAAAATTTTCTCAAATTCACAAATAGAATCTCTTAATTTTTAGATTTGATAAAAGATTGACTTAAAGAGTAAAAGTGAAAGAAAAAAAAACGAAAATTCTTTTAAAGAACTTATAAATCATATGGGAAATTCAAATCACAAACCAGAGAAAAAAAATAATAAAGGAAAGAAAGAAAAAGGAAAACGAAAGAATGAAAAGATAAAAGATGAGACAAATGAAAAAGAAGCAATTGAAGAACCAACTCTACATGAAGAGAAAGAACCTTGTACAGACACACAACCTAATGAAGATAATCAAATTGTCAAAGGAAAAGAAGGAGAAAAAGAAGAATATATTGAATTATATAATGAAGGTAAGAAAAAAGTTACTCAAGATGACTTTGAATTATTAAAGGTTATTGGTCGTGGTTCATTTGGTAAAGTGATGATGGTTAGAAAGAAAGATGATGGAAGAATATTTGCTATGAAAATATTAAGAAAAGATATAGTCAAAGAACGTAAACAAGTTGACCATACAAAAGCAGAAAAGAATGTGTTAATGCAATTACATCATCCTTTTATTGTTAAATTGTATTATGCATTCCAAACAACAGATAAATTATATATGGTTATGGATTTTGTTAATGGAGGAGAATTGTTTTATCATTTAAAGAATGAAAATTGTTTCTCAGAAGAGCGAGCAAAATTTTATGCTGCTGAAATTGCTACTGTACTGATTCATATTCATTCATTAGGAATAATCTATCGAGACTTAAAACCAGAAAATATATTATTAGACAATACAGGAAATATTGTTATCACTGATTTTGGATTAAGTAAACAACTAGCTGCTGGTGAAGAAACACAAACATTTTGTGGAACACCAGATTATTTAGCTCCAGAAATTTTAAAAGGTGTTGGTCATGGACCAGGAGTTGATTGGTGGAGTTTAGGAATTTTAATTTATGAAATGATTGTTGGTATTCCACCATTTTATGATGATGATGTATCATTAATGTATCAAAAAATATTAAAGTCACAGCCTCATTTCCCTCGTAATATTTCTTATGATGCAAAATCTGTTATTATGGGTTTATTAGAAAAAGATCCAGCAGAACGTCTTGGAGGAGAAGATGTTATTCACATGGCTTGGTTTGACAGTATTGATTTTGAAAAATTAAAAAGAAAAGAATTAACTCCACCATGGATTCCTCCAGTAAAAAGTCAAACTGAAACGAGCCAAATTGATGAAGAATTTGTTCAAGAGGCTGCTGTTGATACTCCCCCTTCTGAAGAACAAGAACAAAATAAAGATAATACATTTGAAGGTTTTACATTTGTACAAACCAATGCCATGGAAGAACAACAATAAATAATACATTTGTTTGGGTGTTTAAATGTTTAACTTAACTTATTTGGTTATTTAAATTAAGTTATTTATATTTTTTCTTAGTTAAAAATATACGTCTAGAACTACAGAAGTTTCACAAAAAAAGAATTTTTGAATATACAATAAAGTGAGTCAGTTTTTTAAAGGAAGCAAAAAGATTGAGTTATTAAATAAGAAGTTGTTATTTAACAATAAAAATATTCAAGATACCCAATAATATTTTAATTGTTAAATAAATATAATTAACCAAAAATGAATAATTTCAAACATAGAACTCTCAATATTAAAGAAAAACAAATAATTTTATTATAATATTAATAATTTTTAACATAAACAAAATTCCCAGACTCAATGGGTTTGAAATTTACGTTAAGTTCTAAATTAATTGAATGATTTTATAAATAAAAATATTATGATTAAATTGAAAAGGAAAAGAGACAAAGTAACAGAATTAATTAATACAACTAAACAATTTTCATGAACAAGACTATTAATGATTTAACAATTAAAGACTTGGATATGAGTAAATATGATATGTATAACAATTAATGGTTAATTTAAAATGTTAGAAATTATATTCAATAAGAGATAGTTAAGAATATTACTTCTTGGTTAATGTGAATAGTTTCTTTGTTAATAAAAACAAATTTCTTATAATAAGAAAGAAAGAAATAAAATCCACACCAACAACTATTACAGGAGATATTATGTTTTGAAGAACAAAACAGTATGATTTAAATTAACTGAAATTAGAAATAATAAAATATAAAACTGATTCTTAGTTCAGAGAAAATAGAAATCTAAAGAATAACAACATAAATTAATAAAGCTAATGAAAGATAAACCAATTTAAAGACTCGGTGGTTTGTTTATCTATTTTAAGTAAGTTATATAAAAGTAGTTGATAAAATATTATTCATGTTTTTATCTTTAATTGATTTATTAAACAAATTAATTATTGATTAAAGTTTTTTAGTATATAATTTTTCCAAAAAAGGAATAAGAATACTAAGTAGAATTGAATCTACAATTCATATATATCTCAATTCTATAAATACAATACATAACAATTATGCTATAGAATTTTTCTATTAATGAATTACTATTATAATAAGAAGATAATATATAAAAACAGAAGTAATAAAAAAGATTAAAACAAAAAATATTACATTAAACTCGGGTGTATTCCAACAACATCATTAGAAAAGTCAATAGGAAATCCAATTATATGTTTCATTTCTTCATTTTGTATAACACCTTCTTTAATTTCAATAAACTTTTGTAATGAGTTATTAAATTGAGAAAGAGATATAACTCTTTGTTGACAAATTTTTACTCTTTCTTTTAATGCTTCAATTGTTTGTACAGAGTTGTGTATTTGTTTTGGAAGTTCAATTTGAGATTGTTTCATATTTTCTAGTGCCTGAGGTAATGAAGAATTAATAATTTCTAATTTTACAGCAACTACATTAATATGTTTGATAATCAAATCCTTTGAATTTTAATTTTTGTTTCATTAAACAAAAATTCATTATAACAAACCCTGTTAAATAATACTGTTTGTTTATAAAATAAAAATGGAAGACAATAACTACATAACATATCATAAATAACTCCTTGTGGTAATAAGAATTCAGTATTTCCATTCTCTGAATCCCAAAGACGTTGAGGAGGAATAATTTCTTCCATTTGTAATACAAGTTTTCCTTTTCGTTCAAAAATTCCTTTCTTTTGTAATTGTTTTATTTTATCTTTTCCTAACATTTTTACAACATCATTACCCTGTGATATGAATATATTAAAAGAAAGAAGAAGGAAGTTTCAAACCATTTTTTAAATTTTATTTTTAAAGTTTTTTTAATTCTAGTTCTATTTTAAAACAAAAAGGAATGTATTTTTATCAATTTCTATTTCTATTTCATCTTTTAAATGAAACAATTTAATTTGAACTTAGAAAGTGTTTTAAGATTCTCATGACAACTCAGAACGAACCGGAATGGAAACGTAAGTTACGAGAAGAGAAATTAAAAAATAAGCAAAAGACTAAATCTGCTATTGGTCTAACAAAAGAAGAAGATCCCCAAAAACAATCTTTGTCTGAGTCTAAACAAGAAATAAGAACCTCAATCTCTAAACCTAAACCAAAGATTCTTACAAAACCAGAAGAAAAAACTAATATTATAAATAAAGCAGAATCAGAACAAATTCCTCCAAATCAACCCGAAAAAAAAGAAGAAGAAGAACAAAAAATTATTGAAGAACCTAAAAAAATTATTCGTTTAAATAGAAATTCTGGAATTAGTCAAAAAGATCAACAACAATTACAAAAAGATTGGAAACAACAAATTGCTGCTGTTGAAGTATTAAATATTCAAAAAAAAAGTGGTGTAGCTCCTCCAAATGGAAGAAAATCTTTTCATCAAGGAACTTCTGCTAAACATGCTGACATGAAATTTATTGTTCTTGGAGAAAGTGGAGTTGGTAAAACTTCACTCATTACTCAGTATGTTGATAACTTATTTACTCCTGTGTTTGTTTCTACTGTTGGAGTAGATTTTAAAAAGAAAGAATTTATTGTTGATGGTACTCATATTGTCTCCCAAATTTGGGATACTGCAGGTCAAGAAAGGTTTAGAACTATAATACCTCAACATTATAGAGGTGTTTGTGGTGTTATTTTTGTTGTTGATGTTACTTTAAGAACATCATTTGAACGTTTGTTGAAAATATTCTTTTATTTTTGAAAAATACTAAATGAAAATAGAAATTAGTTTTTGGATTAATGACTTAAAAACAAAATCAGATTCTAAATATTCGGCTATTCTTTGTGGTAATAAAATTGATTCAGAAGATCGTATTGTCACTACTGATGAAATGAAACAACTCGCTGATAAAAATGGTTTACTTTTTATTGAGACTTCAGCTAAAACTAATACTAATGTTACTGATCTTTTTACCACACTAGCCAGAGATGTTTTAGTTAAGCAACCAGAAATTATTAATAAACCACCTCCTGCAAAAGCACCAGTAAGAGTTCATCAGTCTTCAAATTCTAATTCTTCAACAGCATCTCAAGGTGGGTGTTGTTAATAACAAAAAAAATTTTTTTATTAATTGTTTTTTTCTTTCTTTGAGAAATGTTTATTAGATAAGTAAATGTTAATAAAAATTAATAAATTTTTAATTATATATTTATTTCTTAACAAGAGATAAAGAAAAACAAATCTCTGA